TACTGGGGACTTGGAGCTGTCGGCTGTGCCGTCCCCATCTTGACTGGAGCTATAGTCTCAGCTCATATGCTCATCTGCCGCTCTCGTGAGCGGGACCAAACAAGCTTCCGCCTGGTGGCAGCTTGGTGGGTATCATTGTACTTCCTCCCCATGATGAGTGCGCGTGGGCTATAGGCTTGGCATTTCATGCAACTGAGAGTAAGACTTGTGGACGAACTGGGTATCCCGGATTGGTGAGGGCTAGTTACACTGTTTGTGGGATGTTAGACTTGGGGCCTCGAGGGAAAGAGTATGTATGCGAAGCAATTGGACTTGTAAAGGAAAGGATGGCTTAAGTACACGTAGATTGAGCTTGCATTAAAAAGACTTTAGAATTAGAATTGAAACGAGTGTTGACGAAGGTCATGAAATCTTCGAGTGTTCTAGATCTAGTCCTTTATCAAACAATGAGCAGCCATTCTTCGGTCCAGGGTAGAGATAAAGTGATGGTGAACTTAAGTTGAGCGGTTGAGAGTAACAATAAATATCGATAGAATGATTGGTTGGGTGAGTATCTAGGCTCATTGGCCACTCAAAGTGGGGTTGTCGCGACTCTTGGCTCAGTCTGATCACGACAGCAAGAAACTCTATTTAACCCGCTCAACCTCTTACAACTTCTCCATCAGAATGGGCTTCGCCTGCGACCCTTGCTCCATCAGAAAAATAAAATGTAGTGGAGACACGCCGTGCAAGCAATGCAAGGCCACGTCTCTATCCTGCTCATACGATAGGAAGCGCAAGAAGTCGGGTCCGAAAGGGCCCCGAAAGCGTACCAAAGAGGCCATCCTGCAGGCTCAGAGGTCAGCAAAGCATACAAGACCCGACATTGATGGTGAAATTCGGTCTCGAGACGTAGTTGAAGCTCCTTCGTCTACGCAACACAATGGATCGTCGAGTAGTTCGCCAAGTGGCGGCTCCCAGAGTCCTCAGGGCGTGCAGGATATGACAATTGTTAGCTATGATGCTCGGATACCGATGTCATCCTTCAGCTACTACTTGAACGTATATCACGACTGTTTATATGTCGTATGGCCTGTCATAGACCACGAAGTGCTTCTCGCCCGCCTCGGTAACCCCGATAACAAGATTGCCTATGCCCTTGCCGCATCAATATGCTCAGCAACTCGAGCTCAGCTTCGCCTCTCCAATAATGATGTGGGCCCTTCAACTTATCAAATGGGATACGAAGCGGAACAATCTCGTCTGATGCTTGATTACTCGAAGCATCAAATCATCGACGGGCTGTTGACATGTTTCTTCCTCCACGTCTTCTACTCCAACACGGGACGAATTACAAAGTCTACACTGCTTCTTCGAGAAGCCATTGCATATGCACATATTCTTGGACTTCACCAAGATCTGTTCTATACTGATTTGGACCATGAAACGATCCAGTATCATCTACGCATTGCGTGGATTTTGTTCATCACAGACAGGTTAGTCCTGAGCCTCCCGTCTTGCTCTCGCTTTCGCTCTCCCGAAACCCGCTGACAACCTTCAGGGCCCACTCCCTTCAACACGATCTACCTCCTACGTTTAAGCTCAGTCCGACACTGCCGGAACTCCATCCACAACAAGATGCGGGGCTTGGCTCAGCATTCTGCAGTTTGTGCAGACTGTTCCAAGCTTTCGACGACGCCTGCCCTCCAGATGTCAGATCCAACCAGGTTGGCTTCTTGGGTGCCATCAGCTCACAATTGAGGGCACGGCATCCCCTTCCTCTTTGCGACAATGAGATCCAGCGAGCGGACATCATTGTGACTGACTCTTGGCTGCGCGTCGTGCTATGGAAAGCGGCGATTCCATACGTTGATGCAAATACTGACCCAAACGACCAAGGTCTAAGTGTCTCCTTTCCCACATCAGTGGCGAGAGATTTGCTGGCGAAGCTGACCACTCTGTCCTCCTGCGCTCTCGAGACCCATGGCCCCGGAATGGTAAGAGTCCACCGCATTTTACTCTCGCCAAAATGCTGATCTGGAACAGATGTCGAAATTGTTTGAAGTCGCAAACTCAGTGGCAGACGTCATCATCTGCGCCCCTGACCTCGCATATGTAGATTCGGCTCATGTTGGTCCTCGAGATATTCTTTGCGCCCTGAGCAGCTTGATCGCCTCGCTGCGAACGACAGCCAACCCTGCGCTTCTTACTTTACTAAGAGAGAAAATGATGGCCTGTGCATTAGGTCAGGCAGGGCCAGGAAGACTGTTGCAGATCACGGATGTCCCGGATGAAGATGTACAAGCTGAAGAGATGAATCTAGTAGACTAACTAGAATGCTACATCAACGGCCATAGTTCACAACTAGTAGCTATTACATGTGGTGAGTCGTCAACAAGGTTTTAAACGTAAAGGATAAGGACTCTATTCAATCCGGTACGGCCTATATCTCAATTTCCGAGTTATGAACAAATCCAAACGCATAACAATTCACGATACTTCTCATAAAAAGCTTCAAAGTTTTGGCCAAGTCCCTTTTCACGTTGATTTCCATGTTACGTCTTAGTTAGACGCCCTCAGATATGCTCCGCTCCCCCCGTCATGCTTTCGGCCTCAACTGATTTGCGCAGAACTCCCCTGGACACTTCGGAGTGGACAGGGTCCGCAGCGATGCCATCAAAGACAACCGCGATTTCCTCCAAAGTTCTGCCCTTTGTTTCAGGAAACAGGAACCATATAGTTGGCAGCATAGCCGTCAGCGTTGCGATGTAGACGAAGTAGAACTTCCACTGGATAGCTTCAAGAGCGATGGGGTTGACATATTCTGGCAGTAAAATGTTAGCAGCAATCTCCTAACTTCAGTGTCAGTGGAGTAACATACGATTGAAGAAGCCAGCGGCGAACACAACAGTCAAGTTGATGCTGAGTCCCTTGGACCTCAAGTCGAACGGCAGGATCTCGACGGGGTAAGCGATTGATAAAGGCGTGAAGGCAATGTCGTAGAAGCCAAAGAAGATAAACAGGAACGCAACCACGCAATATCCTGCGGCTTTGGTGCCGTGCTCGGCGAAAACGGCCGAGAGAGCTGTGACTATGATGAAACTGGCCAGCATGCCACTGGTTGACAGAAGCCACAGTGGTCGACGACCATATCGTTCGGCAGCCATGGCTCCCATGGCAGCTAGAATGGCGTTCCAAACTTGGAGGCCGAGGTTGATACCAGCTTGTGAGACTGCGTTTGTGACTCCGACGCTCGTCAGGATCGGTGCAAGGTAATAGGACACAATGCCTAGTTCGAATCAGTAAACAGACTTCAGTTGTTCCCTTGGATCACCTACCGTTTCCAGCCCACTGAATCATAAAACCGACCAACACACAGATCAATAGTCTGTGGCGGTTTCCTTTGGTCTTGAAGAATGACATGAATCCGATATTCTTCTCCGCTTCGCGCTCTTGATCGATAACCGTGCAGATCTCCTTGAACTCAAAGTGAACAAGCTCATCGTCGGTATCACCATTGGCATGATACTTGACAAGCATTGCGAGAGCTTCATCACGTCTGTTCTTGGAGATCAACCATCGAGGGGATTCGGGGATAAAGGTGAGACCGATGAGTTGAAGGGCTGGGAAGAAGGCCTGGAACAAGACGGGTAATCTCCAGCTCCAGCTTCCGCTCATGTGCAGTGTTCCGATAGTAACGACGGCTGAGAGAATGGCGCCCCAGAACCAGATGGCTTGGAACATGTTGGTGACATTGGCGCGGTGTCTCGGGTGAGCGATCTCGGTGGTCAGAGGTGGTGCCGAGGTTTGTGCGAAGCCCAGGCCGATACCTAGCATGATCTTAGTGCCCAGGAATGCCCATGGACCGTTCGTAGAAGCCTGGATGATAGCTGCGGCGATCATAATGGAAGAGCCCAAGGCGATGGTGAAGCGGCGGCCCATCCAATCACTGACGTATGCAGCTGGGATGAAGGCTGGCAAGCCACCCAAGCTTATACCAGCTATGATCAGGCCAAGGATGCTTGTGCTGACGTCTCCGATGTTGTCGTGCCCTGAGAAATGTCAGATGGTGCTTGGGGAGAAGCATAACAACTTACATTGTTTGATGGTCAACAGTCCATTCATAAGACTTCCGTCGAATCTGGCAACGGCTCAGTACATTTTTCCATGTTTCAGTGGCGAGGAAGAAACATACCCGTTGGCAGCAGCCGATGCGAACATAAACCCAATGCCAATGTTGAGCTTTCTCAAGCCAGCATCGTGCATCCAGTTATCGTTCGTGTTGTTCTTGTATCGCTTGTAGACAGCATTCCCTGGATTGGTATCTTTGGAGGATATGACAGCCATGATGGCGCCCGGCAGTGGTTGATTCGGTGTTCTTGACGAATACGTGAAGGGATAAAGAGATTTGAGGTGATTGGGATCAGGGTTGCTGATTGTCTTGGTGCGTAGAGTATAAAGGAAGGTCTTTCAGATCTGACTGCTTTACTTTTCTCTGTGAGTGAAGCTGGGTTGGATAGGGATTCTGGATACTCACCGGGAGCAGTGCTGGTCTTATATGTGTTTTTCGAGTTGAAGCATCACCATAGACCAAGTCACTTAACCGTCAGCCCATCCGTGACTGGTGACCCTCGGCTTTCGGATCATGAGAAAATCTTTAAGGTCTGGAATAAACTAACAGGGAAAATCACCCCATGGAGGTCAGATGCTGTTCCCCAGCTTTCCTCCACAAACCCGATGAATTCTCTGGTTCTCAACCTGGGGTTGAGCAATAGCTGATCTGATTGGCGGGAAGAATATCGGCAAGATTACTGACTCGATTTGCTGCCCTCGTTAAGTGGGTATGCGGTGTCGGAAAGATTCTCGGGAGGTTTTGGGGGAGGATTCTCGGGAGAAATAAGATGAGACAGCGCATGTTGGACACATCATGTGTTCCTCTGCGGGCAGATTCTCGGTGATGGCAGCGGAATTCCCGTCGTGGCTGTCTTCGCCCATGTTCAAATAGTCTCTGTCATTCCACCATGGGCTCTCTTTCATCTTCATCCACCCAAGCACAATCATCAGCCATGCCCTCCGCAACACAAGACATCTCCGGCCCGGTCAGCGAGGCCTGGTGGAAGGAGGCTTCTGTCTACCAAATCTACCCTTCATCCTTCAAGGACACAAATGGAGATGGCATCGGTGACATTCCTGGTGTGATTGAGAAGCTAGACTACTTCAAGAACCTTGGTGTTGACATCGTTTGGCTATGTCCCGTTTATCCGTCGCCTCAGGTTGACATGGGTTACGATGTAGCCGACTACTGCGATATTGACCCGCAGTATGGGACCATAGCCGACGTCGAGCGACTCATAGAGGGTCTGCATTCGAGAGGTCTGAAGCTACTGATGGATCTTGTGGTTAATCACACCTCAGACAAGGTTAGACAACACTCACAACGGTATTAGCACTTGCTGACATCTTTCACAGCACAAATGGTTTCAAGAGTCCAAGTCATCTAAAAACAGTCCTTACCGAGACTGGTATATCTGGCGAAAGCCTAGATACGACGAGAACGGAGAGCGGCAGCCACCCAACAACTGGCTCTCCTATTTCGGAGGTACGTGTTCTTGAACGGTCTTGGGTCTTCTCGTGCTTACATGAGATTCTACACAGGAAGTGCATGGGAATACGACTCTGCCTCTGATGAGTACTATCTCCATCTTTTCGCCAAAGAGCAGCCCGACCTCAACTGGGAGCATGCTCCTGTACGCGAGGCTGTGCATGCTATCATTCGTTTCTGGCTGGACAAAGGCGTCGATGGATTTCGGTAGGTCCCTTCTTCTCAAAGTTTTAAGACACACAACTGACCCGGTAGAATGGACGTGATCAACTTCATCAGCAAGCAAGACGGCCTCCCCGACGCCACCGTCAAGATTCCTGGAGCCAAGTACCAGTGGGGCGATGAGCATTACGCCTGCGGTCCCCGACTACACGAGTATCTTCAGGATATTGGCAAGATCCTCAAAAAGTACAACGCCTTCTCCGTTGGAGAAATGCCGGCAGTCCAAGACCCCAAGGAAGTCATCAAAAGTGTTGGTGAAAGTCGTGGTGAGCTCAACATGATCTTTAACTTTGAGATGTAAGTCAATATCAGGCCAGACAAATACTTATATGCTGACGTTATTCAGTGTTGATATGGATCATGGCAAGGGAGGAAAGTTCACACCACATAAATGGGAAATGCAAGACCTGAAGGGGATTGTCAACAAGTGGCAGACTTTCATGTACAAGAACAAGGGTTGGAACGCCTTATACCTCGAGAACCACGATCAGGCAAGGACAGTTTCAAGATGGGCTTCTGATAAGCCCGCCTACCGAGCGCTATCGGCCAAGATGCTGTCTACGTTCCTATGCTTTCAGAGCGGTACAGTATTTGTATACCAGGGACAGGAACTGGGCATGGCCAACATGCCGGCGGATTGGGAGATGACTGAACATCGAGACCTGGAAACATTGAACCACTGGGAGGAGTAATGGGATCTCTTTTCCCATGATGGGTCGACAAGTGGCTAACTTGTGTTCAGGTTGAAGCAGACAGCGGGCTCTGATGCGGCAGTCCTTGAGATCGCGCGCAAGGAATACCAACTCAAATCTCGCGATCACGCGCGAACCCCAGTACAGGTAAGCACAATCGCTTTCTAGAACCATGAGAACGTCTAACATGGTGCCAGTGGGACTCCTCACCGAATGCCGGCTTCTCAACAGCAACACCATGGATCAGAGTGAATGACGACTATAAAGAGTGGAACGCCGCAGCTCAGGTAGCCAAGCCAGATAGTGTGTTTGAGCATTGGAAGTCTGCACTTGCGCTTCGAAAAGAACTGAAGGACATCATCGTCTACGGAGACTTTGAGCTTCTTGACGGAGAGAACGACGATGTTTTTGCGTATGCGCGGTCGAATGGAGCACAGAAGGTCGTCGTTGTCTGTAACTTCCGAGACCGAGAGATTTCTTGGTCTCCACCAGTCGATTTACATTCGGGCAAGGTTTTGCTGGCAAACAGGCCGGAAGTTGATCTGTCACAGAAGACGCCTAATCTCCGTCCCTTTGAGGCGTTTGTTTGTCAATTGCATTAGAATAGATATCTAGACCTAGACTCAATAAATGTTCCAAGACTCGGTATTTACGAAATAAAAGACCACAGTCAATTAAGCCACAGAAAATGAACCTATCCATTTGGCTCGAGTGAATTGGGAGTCGTGTATGACAGATCGGTTGCTTCAAGTGAATAGTGCATCTGAGCTGGATACCATATGTATATTCATTTGCGACTCAGCTGGCACCAATAGCTATTCCTCCGCTTCGGAGATCCTCCCCGAATAGCTCAGCTGGAAGAGCGTTCGGCTGTAACTGTTAACTGACACCGAAAGGTCACTTGTTCGATCCAGGTTTCGGGGAAACAATTTTTTGACATTTTTGACAACAGTAGTAACTTGAGAATAGTTTATGTGTACCGTTGATCAATTATTAAAGTCATTAATAAATGTCACTAATCGTGTGTTTTTTTTTTCTTTATGACTTAACTGAGTGGTAGAGTTTCAGAGCTGGACCGATGTTTTCCCGTATTGCATATTCGCGAATTCCCTCCTTGCCTACTCTGTAACGCGTTGTGCACCTCACGGTAGCATATTTCTATGATGACCGTGGGACCGTCTCAACAAGCACAGCAAAGATGCAATGCGCTACGCAGCAATTGAAGGCTACCCCGACCTTTTGGTTTCACAAAATTCTGTGAAGCTGTGCTGCTGACGTCATTGTTTTCGCGCTGCGCCAGATCATTTTGCTAAACCTCAAACTCCAAAGCAGAGGCGCTCTTCCTGCTTATCGGGGTGTCCTTCGCAAATGCTACTGTTTTCTGTTCGCCTCTTGAGATCCATTTGTTTGGTGTACCTGGTTACGCAACGATGGCTCTCTTATCGCCTGCCGGTTGCTGGCACTGCCGTGGAGATGCTCATGATGCCCTCAGCACTGGGGAACATCTCGTGCCTCTACCGATTACTTCACAGCGCTTTCAGCAATCGACCGCCTGAACAAGTGTTCGGCGTTTCAGAGAGATGCAATCTTCAAACGGGGAAACACCAGAGGTACGGGTGACTGCCGTTTGCTTTGGTCCGCCCGCATTGCTTCTGCGTTTGCACTCGCACACTTACTTTGGCAATATAGTTTGCTCCATGAGCCTTCGAAACCTTCGCTCTTATCTCGCCGCGTGTGAAGCATAGAACATCCGCTTATAGATCCCCGCGCTTCCAACCGACGTTACCTCGTGCTCAGCCCTTCGAAGCGACGAAAGATCACGGCGAAAACTCGACATCGGCCGTTCAGCGATGCCTAAATCTCAAGCGAGTAAGAAGTCTCCTGCGAAGGGCCTTGATGCCTCGAAGTCAAACACAAAGGCAGGAACACCAGCTCCGTACGAGTTCAGCGGGCGTGACTCGATCAACATCAGCTCGTTCGACCTTGCGCAAGTTCAGGAATCGCTGGAGCACTCCGATGTACCTTCAATGCAACCGCAGCTCAAGTCGCCCAGACCATGTCCTCGACAATTGAATCATCCCATGCACTGGCAGCTTTCACAGCATGAATTCTTGATCGCGCGCCACAAGGCTTTGCGGTCATCAGGTAAGACCTCTTTGGAACTCTTCACAACAATCACTGACACCTCCAGCGCCTTCTCATACGTCCACGTTACCTGCCCTCGAACCAACTTCGAAAACTCCCGAAACCCTTCCGCTCGATGAACCAGCCGGCGATTCACGTCCCGCGTCGCCCGGCGAGAGCTCGTCAGCCTCTATGAAACCTCCCCTCCCAGAAATCCGTGTATCCCCTCCCGGAGAGCTGAACGAAGCCCCCCGTCAAGCCCCCCCTCCGATCGAACACCCCGCC